ACTATTTAGTAGCCTAATAGTAATAGTATAACAGTCTGTTTTGTGAAGAAGAAACCCAGCAAGCATTTTTGTTTTTAAAAGATGTCTAATAGGCGTCTAAACATAGTCGTCTCAGCTAAAACAAGGCTAAATTTGGGCTGTTAGTGAAAATCGGCCACTAGGCCAACACTTTCAAATAAACAGAAATGAATGACTACACATATATTCTGTCTAATCTGTCTATTTGACAACTAGTCTAGTTTTGGGCTATTCTTAGATGTGTAGATTTTCACTGACAGCCAAAGTTTAGCATTGAGGTAAAGTTAGTCTTATATTCACACATTCGTTCAGTGGCAACTTGTGAAATGCTCCCTATATTGTTTAACATGGTTCTTTGAATATTAGGTCTGAAATCACATGTAAATATATTTAAAACAACATTAACACCATTTATTTGACTGTAAACAATGTTGTACTTTGATTGTCATTGGATGATATTATGATTTCACTATTAAAAATTGGCAAAGAATATTTTGTAAAAGTTTTATTAAGGAAAAAGTCAGAATTTACGAATATTAAACCAACTTTACCTCAATAACTTCAGCCTTGTTTTAGCCAAGCTGTCTACGTTTAGATGTCTATTAGACGTCTATTAAACTCAAAATTGTTTGCAGGAAAGAAAGTTTTGTAAGAAAATAATTAAAATATTGCGAATATTATTAACAAGTATGACATAAAACATATGACATAATGCAAAAAAAGTGTTAAGTACATTTATGACGAATTACAGTTGCATGACAGTTGGGGAACCACTGACAATGGGTTTTCCAAGTACAGGTAGCCTAAACACTGTACATATATTGTCATGTGTTTAATTGGTCTTTTGACCTCCATCTGCCTAAGTGGAGAAAAAGAAAATCCCCTGTAAGATTTATCTCTCCTTGGAACACAAGACTCTACAGCTGCAAAGCCTACTTCTGGAAACCACCTTCAATCTCTCACCTCCTCTCTGCTGTATCAGATTTTTAGAAGGATCTTGATCTTTCAGTTTTAATAATTCACGATGACCTAAAGTTATGGAGAAAAATGAAGTTAGTTCCCCAGTCGCATTTTCTGAATGACACTTTCAAGCTGCTGCATGAAACTTCAGAAGATATTTGGTACATGCTGCATTAGATTATCTACATGTTAGGAATGCCAAAGGTAATGAATGTAATTATTTTGTTTCACAGCATACAGATAGCTAGAATCCCCACAGTCACTAATCTGATACTGTTTGTGCTAAATTCATTCACATCTGCATGACATTTAACTTTGACATGTCTAAATTTAACTTAAAACAAACACATTCAGCACTACAGACATACAGATGCTTCATTGCTTCATGCTTACTTTGAGTGACCCAGATATATCAAGTCTACAGAGTGGGTTGTGATGACATGGGTGGGAGGGGTTCTTTCCATGTGCAGAAAAAGCAACTTTATATCTTTATTTTAAAAGATCGTGATTTTGTATCTTATTCATATGAAAACAACTTTTAGAGGGAGAAAAACTATTTAAATTGCACTTCTTAAAAAAGGCAAAATTACAAGAAGTTAGAATTACGAGAAGGCTAAAATCAGTTGTGAAACATGAAATCACATTTCTGAGATAAAATCTGAATGTTTAGATATCTTTAAGTTGTGAAAGGAAGTCAGTATTGTGAGATAAGAATTCACAAATAACCTTCATGACTTCAGAATTGTGATATATAAACCCAAATGTGAGTTAGTTCAGATTTTTTTCTCACATGCAAGTGGGATGTAAACAGATTTCATGAAATGCATGCATGAAAAAAAACACCAATGTGCCAAACAACCAAATAGTTTCATACTGTGATGATAGCGCTTGAGCATTACATGGGTAGAGGGTTCTTTCCATGTGCAAAAAAGCAAGTCTCATAATTTTTTATTTTTAACTACTTCACAATGTATTAGTGATTTAATTTGGACATAATGTGATTTCTATGACAAAATGTTGCCTTTGGGAAACAAAAAAACAATAAAAACATTATGGTTCACTACTAACCCAACCCTTGAGCCTATATAAACCAACGCATCAAGCCACTATGTTTGATGTAATTTAACATTTCTGATAGGTAATATAATTATGAGGTAGCATCCAGATATAAATAAACATTTGATTGACCCATGATTCACCTTCAGTGTGGTATGTGTGTGCGGTGGGGGATGTTTCATTCATGCCACTTTCTAAAATGTGTTACCCACAGTATGTGTCGGTGGCAGTATCATGTCAGGAAAAACAGATATAACATTCATTATTTTAATTAGGCCTTAAACAGAGGTCAGTCTCTGTCTCACATATCAATGCATGTCTCTGTGTGGTATTTGTTTCCAGACTGACTCACAAATATTTTGAGGTCACAACTATGATGCAATGGAAAACTGTGCACTTTTACATTGCTGCACACATGCATCTGCATTGAGTGATTCTCCTTGTGCAATTGATGTTTACTCAAACACTATTTGAGGCAACAGGGTTAAAACAGTTGTCATCATCAATTATTCATCAAAATTAGTTTGAACAACTAATACTGAACAACAGTCATGTCATAGGGACTTTCCATTTGAGCAAGTCTTCAATAATTCTGTATTTCAGCTATACTTCAGTTGTAATTTGCTAATCGTCTGATTGGTCAACTGTCACATTCTTCAGTCAATTATTCATTCAATAATTTTCTTCAGCTTAGACCCTTTATTCATCATGGGTCGTCACTGCGGAATGAACCGCCAACTTACCCAGCATATGTTTTACACAGCGGGTGCCCTTCCAGCTGCAACCCAGTACTGGAAAATACCCATACACTCTCACATTCATTCACACACCCCCACACACACACACACACACACTCATACACCATGGCCAATTTAGTTTAATCAATTCACCTATAGCGCATGTCTTTGGACTGTAGGGGAAACCAGAGCACCCAGGAGAAACCCACGCGAACATGAAGAGAACATGCAAACTCCACACAGAAATGGCAACTGACGCAGCCGTTGCTCGAACCAGCAACTTTCCTGCTGTGAGCAACTTTTTTATTTACTTTTTTATTATCTGTGCAATGTAATTCATATGTTATTGTGGATTTATGTTGTCATAAAACAGAAAATTGTTATAATGTGTGTTGAGATATGACTAAGTCATAAATCATTATCTGTTGCATAGACAAGTGTACTTGGGAAAGAAAATGGCGACTAAGTGTTTTCTTTTTTTAATGAAGCACCCCCAGTGATAACCCCTCCTTGTTCTGCAATGGATGGATGAGCGCGCCAGCTAGCGCGCAGACACAACAGATGCGCGTTCACGAGCTGCGAGCTCTGCTGAGCACGTGCATGAGCGTCAGTGGTCAGAAACAATGGCTCACGCTGACCGAAATGATAAGTGACGGTCACAATATGTCAGCCAAGTGAGTGCAATCGGCAGACAACATATAAAACAAATTATATAGACCACAGCCAGCATGGGTGTGTTGTGACAGAGAAAGTTTGCTGGTTACTTTTGGTTATTCTGCAATTACGTATACTATCACATGGCAACAGGTTGGACATGTCGGAGAAGAACTTAAACAAGCTGCTCTACTTTTCCGTCCAGACCTGACCGTGAAATTCAGTAACAAAATGTGCTTTACATTGTGTATTGTGTAACACTGTTCCTCGACGCAAAGTGAAATTCATAAGCAACCAAGTGGAACATTTCTGGAAAAGGAAAAGCGAAACTGTTGCAACCCAATGAATGCGAGAATTCTGGAAAACGTAGTTTATTAAAATGATTCACAGGAAATTAACGATGACACAGGGTTTTCAGCGTAACTGTCTCTCCATAAAGGAAAACGTGCATTTAGGAATGGGGAACTTTAAAAACTGCCCCAATCGAAATAATGTTTTTGAAAAGTTTATCTGTACGGCTCAGCGGTTGTTTTGCGTTTGAATAGCTTCGCAGAAGAAAGAAAATTCTGCACAGATATTTAGGCGCAACACTGCTGGATTCACATTTCGATACACGGATAGCAGTTCGAACCTCTGACAAATGACTCTTATGATCCGGTTCTTTTATGGAATCAAATACACACAGCCTTCAGCCGCGTCACTGTGTTGACCAACTCGAGCAAATGACTCTTATGAGCTGATTCTTGTTAGTGACACGGCGAATCAATTATTACCTTATGTCCTACTTAAAAAGAAACTAAAACATCCCATAATACTTTCCGTATGTCCCATTGATGTGTACAACACTTGAAGTTTGGTTCTCTTGCTTGGAAGTAGACAAAGCCCAAACATTTCTGTATTAGCTGGTTATTTCAGCGCATTAGTAGTAGCTTATTTATAAATATGATGTGTTAAAGTTGTGTAATCAGTTTTGTTATAAATAGTGGTATTTTGAAAAATATGTCTAGGCTACATCTACCACGTTTTTTTAATATGTTTGAAGTTTGTAATTACTGATTTGCATTTCTTTTATTAAAAAGCCACGAAAATGTAACATTTAGATTAATTTATTACAAATTTAGTTGATTATTTAAAACGAATAATAATTGTTATTAATTTTAACAAACATAATTTAAACCGTTTTAAATATTCTTTTAAAATCTAACTGAATTTGTTAAAGGGAGTCGCGACTGGAACCACAAGCCAGTTTTTCTCACCATCCCTCATTAGAGTACAGCAGCTTCAGTACCGCAGAAACAGCGATAAACTCGAGAGAGGATGCCCGGACCCCCTCACGCTCTGTTTCTCCTTGTTTGCCAAACTTTCACTCCCACTCAGAGTCCACATTGTCCTCCAAGAAACGCGCTGCCACCCCTCCCTGCCTCTTTACCTCCAAAAACACAATATAATTGTTCCAAAAGCACAACAGTGGACGATTAGCGCGGACCTCTTGCTCAAAAGGCGCTCTTCTCAGTGAATAGTCGAGCGGATGGTGCGCATGCGCAAGACCCGAGGCGCCAAATTTAGCGGGAGGGAGAAAGACAGCCCAGCTTTGTCTGATGGATCTGTTTACAATATCGCACACTCCACTAGAGAGCTTAATATCAGCACTTCCTCCTCGAAGAGGAGCTGACAGCACTCCACCTTAGCACACTTGAGCCGAGCGCACTCACCATCACATCTCTACCTTCCTCTCGAACAGCGGGATGGCGAGGCGGCACAGACACAGGTGAGTTTTAAAACTTATGCATTATGATGAAAACTTTCGCGCATGTATTTCCTTATACTGTGAGAATGCGCTCCACAGCCACATGGAGGTATATATATGTACACACGTATAAACGGCTTGTCCTAAGAACATTGTATTTCAGAAAAGGCATGCTCAAAATGAGAGCTTTGTTGCATTTTTATAATCGCACGCATCTTAGTCTGCGAGGACTGGCATTTGTTGTGGCCGCGCGCGCTGAACAGGTGGATGGCATGTGCGCTCTCCGCTCGCGCCCGCGCGCGGTGGTCTCGCGCTCGCGTTCATTTACATTTTCATTCATCCACCTGCGCGTGCGAGTCCGCTGGACAGGTTAAGGTTTGATTCGGTACTTCCCCAAAAAGAAGAACACTCATTTAGATTCAGAAACAACAGAGGAGAGCCGCAATGTCAGCGGCTGTGTAGCGTAGTTGAAAAATAGCGGGCGATTGCCAAAAACATCTCGGTGTGTTCGCGTACTATTTCTACTAACTGAGTTTTACTCTTTTTCGGAAATGGCTCTGAATTATATCGTTTGGATTAATTTTGAGATTACACGTGAGCCGGATGGATTATAATCACTGAGTTTTCTAAATCCGCTTTACATTTGTCGGTTGTAATAACTAGCGTGGTATTATAGTCTTAAAGGGATAGTTCGACCCTACATGAAATGCTGTCATCGTTCACACACCCTCATGCTGATCTTAAACTGTTGTAACTTTAGCGTCGAACAAAATTAAATAAATGAAAATGAGGCAGAATGCGAGTGAGGGTCTGACAGTCTCGCGAGCCATTCACTTTCACTGCATCTTGTTTCTATTCAAGTGAATGGAGACTGCGGCTGTCATTCTGCCTGTTTCCTTTTGATGAAATATTACGATAAAAGATGAAACAAAACTATAAGTTCAGCAGGTTAATTTTGTCTTTTTAAGTTTACTTCAAATTTTGGAGCGTTTACAGTTAGCTAAATTCACTTTAATGTATATTAAGTTCACACAACGGGTTAAAAGTGAGAGTATTTCGTTGTATTTGTCACTTAAGCTAATAATAAACTACTCAAAAATTCCTCTGAATTAGTTTTCAGCCACAGTGAGACTATTTTGACAGGTATTTAAAGTCACAGTACAGTTACTCAGCGCACACTAAAGATGAAACCATATATTTGACTACATATTTGCTTGGACTAGGTGCGTTCTGAGTTTTACATTTCAGTGTAAACACTTGTAATCAATGCAGCGAGCTATCATCCTTATCTTTTGTTTTGAGTACTCGCATTAAGGATAAACATGAGATTTAAAAGTACATACACATACACCTGTGGCACAAAGGCAAGGGGAACATTGTTCTCCACGTCTGCTTGTGCTCAACCCTGATTGGCCCAGAGCCGGCCAGGTGAGATGGTTTTGACAGTACCTGTGCAGGTCTAAACACGCTTCTATCATGAAACAGTGCCAGTCCACGCACACGCTTGCTGTTTCTGTGGAAACCAAAAACACCAGAACAGGTTTCTGTGAGCGTGTCCCCCCTGCACCCTAACCTGCCGGCTGTACTGGTTCATCCACTCCAGTTTTGTGTTGACTGTGTTATCGCTTAATTTTTCTATAACGCGTGATAGATGTATGGAGGTGAAAGGGTGCTATTTGTGTATGTCACCAACACACATCTGGTTCATGAAGATTCCTCCCCACTCTTCTTATTAGTGCTCTCTCTATTATTTATTCTATATTTACCCTTGGTTTGCTGTTTTATTATTACCCCCCCTTCCCCCCCCCCACCCGACTCACCCTCTCTTTGATACCTTACTCTCTTTATCTCACAGTTGATCATTTCTCTCCCCCTCAGTGTTTACAGTAGCGACGAAGATGATGATGATGTGGAGATTTATGATCATGACTATGATGGTCCTCATGCCAAGACAGGAAAACGCCACCTCGGCAAGACACGCTGGACCCGTGAGGAGGTACATAAAACTGCTCTTTGCCTTTGTTTAAGTGTTATTTTTGTGCTGTTGTAGTAGTTTAACACTTTGATCTATATTTAATTACAGATATATAATAGCATCTATATTATAAAGATATAGTAACAATGATCTATATTTGCTAACAGCATTTTGACCAATTGCAAATATAAGTAAATTATATATACTTACACACAATATTATTTTTGTAATATTATTAATTTTCGCAATATTATTAATAAATCTTATGATACTATACCAGCTATAGTATCATGATACCAAGTTGTATTGCAATACTGTAAACTCAGATTATAAAGAAAATTTGTCAGAAATACTGTATTTTATGTTATAATAGGCCTATTTGAATTTAATTCATAACTCCCTTATTTTTACATCTAAATGTTATATATAATACAAAAAAAATCTGTAATCTATATTTGAATTATTAGCCCCCCTGTTTATTTTTTCCCAATTTCTGTTTCAAGGAGATTTTTCCAACACATTTCTAAACGTAATAGTTTTAATAACTCATCTCTAATAACTGATTTATTTTATCTTTGCCATGATGCCAGTAAATAATATTTTACTAGATATTTTTCAAGACACTTCTATACAGCTTCAAGTAACATTTAAAGGCTTAACTAGATTAATTAGGTTAACTAGGCAGGATAAGGTAATTAGGCAAGTTATTGTATAATGATGGTTTGTTCTGTAGACTATCGCAAAAAAAATGGCTTAAAGTGGCTAATAATAATAATTTTGACCTTAAAATAGTTTTAAAAAAAGAAAATTATAGTTAAAAAAAAACAAATAAGACTTTCTCCAGAAGAAAATATTATCAGACATACTTTAAAATTTTCCTTGCTCTGTTAAACATAATTTGGTAAATATTTAAAAATATATAAATAAATTAAATATATAATACCACATGTATTAATATTCAGTTTAATAATTGTTAGTGTATTTGCTCTATTTTTGCATTGCTTTGACTTTCAAATGTTTAGGAATAGTTTTTAGGTTGTTTTTGTTTCATACTGTATCTTGTGCATTCATTAACAAATAAATCACTCTGTTTTTACCTGTAGTTAAACTGCTAACTCCTTTGTGAGGTGTTAATTTAAAGGAACACTGACTATGTATTATTTGTTTAATAATTATGCACCCAAGTCTTGACTGTTGAATGCCTACTATTTACAGGATGAAAAGTTAAAGAGGCTGGTAGAGCATCATGGTTCTGAAGACTGGAAAGTCATCGCCAGCTTTCTACCGGTGAGTATGTGTGTTTGTGTCTATGATTTTGGGATAAAGTGTGTGTGTGTGTGTGTACGAATGTGGCTTGTGTATTTAGGCTTTAGGGGGTTAGATTAGGTTATGTGATTAGGTGTGGTGTTTTATAGATGAGAATTTGCATGTGAATAGCCAAAGGATCAGGTACTGCAGAAGTGTGTGCACGTTTTGGAGGATTTTGCATAATTGGGTATTCCTCATTGGTTGGCCTAGTTTGGAACAGAGTCAGATGGGGGGTTAAGGGGGGAGGGAATGGCAAGGTTTCAGAATCCACTGTGCACCTGCATACACACACGGATGTACAAAAAACACACACATACAAATGTGCACTGCAAGGTAGAAACATATGCATACAGTTTCACAGGCACAAACACAACTCGCATACACTCTAGACAGTGATCGCTGCGTGGCAATTTCAACACATGAACAAGAATCAGAAACTAAAGCTGTTTCATTTCTGATTCACTCTCTCTGTGGGGTTTCCGAAACACCTGGGATCCCATGCACAGAACATTGTCCTCTTATTAAACACAACAATTTACTTTAATTCAAGTCACACGCCACATTGACAACCCAACTTTAGTTTCCATTCTCTGTTTATCTAACTGTTCTTGTGTATGTTTCACAGAATCGAACAGATGTTCAATGCCAGCATCGTTGGCAGAAAGTCCTCAACCCTGAACTCATTAAAGGACCATGGACTAAAGAAGAAGACCAACGGGTGAGAATGAAATCCAGCACAAAATAACCATACCACAACCAAAATGTTACCTCAGATAACCAAAATAAGCCACAGGATTGCATTACACAAACCAACAAATTCACATGCAACCAAAAGAAGCTGAGGGGGAAAATAAAGATCCATTGTGCGGGTGTTGTGTTGTAATGATTAACTGGGGAGACCAGGTGTTTCTCCATTTTATCGTCATTTTTACGACCCAGCAGAAGTCATTAGCAGGTGTATTTAGCAGATATTCAGCATAATACCACTATCTGTATCTGTGTGCAATCCTAAAACACTTATGCAATGTTAGTTCCCTTTCTCTCTGGGCTGGTTCTGGCCTCCTCCTCTAATTCTTTCCACTTCTAATGCATGCTTTTCTGGCCTAATGGTTTCAGGTGATTGAGTTGGTGCAGAAGTACGGCCCCAAACGTTGGTCAGTAATCGCAAAGCATTTAAAGGGGCGAATCGGAAAGCAGTGTAGAGAGCGCTGGCACAACCATCTAAACCCTGAGGTGAAGAAGACGTCCTGGACTGAGGAAGAAGATCAAATCATTTACCAGGCGCACGAGAAACTTGGAAACCGATGGGCCGAGATTGCCAAGTTACTTCCGGGAAGGTAAATGAATGCTGCTAAAAGGGATAGTTCACCCAAAAATGAACTATTTTCTCATCCTTCACTCTTTCCACACCTATTTGAGTTTCTTTATTCTGTTAGACACAAAGGAAGATACTTTGAAGAATGCTAAAACCTGTAACCATTGATTTCCATAGTAAGTTTTTTCTACTATGGAAGTCAATGGTTACAGTTTTCCAGCTCTCCTTGGAGTAACCTCTATTATGTTCAACAGAAAGTTTTAAAAGTTTGGAAGAACTTGAGGGTGAGTAAATAGTGAGTAAATAAAAAAAAATCTGTAAACGATCCCTTTAATTACTCTTATTGTATATGTTTATATGTGATAATGACAATCTCTTATCGTTCTCTCATCAACAGAACCGATAATGCCATCAAGAATCACTGGAACTCCACTATGCGGCGGAAAGTGGAGCAAGAAGGTTATTTGCAGCACGCTGCTAAAGTCAGCCCAACTCCGCTAAACAACAGCTATTCTAAACCTCACCTCCTGAACTACAATCACACACCAAGCAACACATCCATGCCTGCCTCCTCCATGAGCAATCAGTATCCATACTACACTGAATCATCACGGGTAGGTAGCCTATGTTTACCTATTAAAACAACACCATTGTTAGTCAGCTTATATGAACACTGTTTTTTTTTTCTCATGTTCAGGTGCCATTTCCACTTGCTCTCCAGTTAAACATCTTGAACTTTCCACAACATGGCACTGCTGCTATCCAGGTAACCAATGATCAGATTTGCTTTGTAGTTTTATTTAGCAGGAATGCATTAAAGCAGTTGTTTTCAGATAAATGCTGTTTTAAGATACTTCACAAAATGTTCGAGCAACACAACTGTTTTCATTTCAGTGTTGATAAAGAAATATTTTATGATGAATTCTGAAAGATCACATGACACTGAAGCTTGGAGTCATTTCGAATTCCGTTTACCATTTTATACCTTCTTATTATCCTTTCTGATCAAATAAATGCATCTTTATTAGTACAAATAAACGTAAAACAGATTATTTAAATTCCTTTTGTATTGTCATTTTTGATCAAATAAATTCATCCTCACTGAGGATAAGATACTTCTTTCCAAAATATAAAACATTCATACAGGATATATACAACAAATCCATTATACTGATTCAGGTTATTCAGGAAACTAGCTATACCAGTCTACACTATCTGTTTTAGAGTGTGAATCCTTCAAAAATATGTTATTTTATTGTCCTTTTTGATCAAATAAAGTTTTTCTTATTAACATGAGAGTTCTGTTCAAATACATGCCATAAAAAAATCATGCAGTACATATGCAACACATTTATTAAACAGATATTTTTTATGTGAATCCCTCAAAAAATACACGCTTTCATGTCATTTTTCCCATTTATAATCACAATTTGAGCTTAATAAACAAACACTGAATTTACTTTGCTCTCATCTCACATAGAGACACTACAGCGACGAGGACCCCGAAAAAGAAAAGAGGGTGAAAGAAATCGAGATGCTGTTGATGTCAACAGAAAACGAGCTGAAGGGACAACAGGCACTACCAGTAAGTGTGTCTCTCTGTGCGTGTGTGTGTGTGTTTAATTGGAGGAAGCATCTGGGGGTCTATTTCACATGCTTCAACTGCTTGGCTAAATGATGCAATTGCACCTTATCACACCACAAGCTCTGTTTAACTCCTTGTGCAACTGAGAACCCCCTCCCAACCCTTCACATCATTCAACTCGACAAGTTCCCTTTCTCTCTGACCGCTTTTCCTGCATGCATTCCTCTCTTTCTTTCGCTTAATTTTGCTCTTTTTTTGTTCCCCCACCCAGATCTCCATGAACGGCTACGGTGGCTGGAACAGAGGCTCTTTGGCGGACAGTTCGGTTGGCATTGTTGTTTCAGTCCCGGCTCCATCCCTAGAGCAAGGATGCCTTCCTGAAGAAAGCGCACATGGCAACACAAACAGCCCAAATAACGACTCCAGCTCCACTTTACCAGAGTTTATCGATGCTATTGATTCGGTAAGTTCATCTAAAATGAACAGTGACCATGTATTCATCAGCTAGCATCTAGCGTTAAAGGGATAGTTCACTCAAAAACTAAAAATTCTGTCATCATTTACTCACCTTTCACTTGAGTTTCTTTCTCCTATTAAACAAAAGAGAAGGTATTTTGAAGAAAGTTGAAAACTTGTAACCTTTGACTTCCATAGTATTTGATTTCCAACATACTACTCAATGGTTACAGGTTTTCAGCTCATCTTCTTTAGTGTTCAGCAGAAGAAAGAAACTCCTAAGTGTTTTGAAACCACACGAAAGGCGTGTAAACACTGAGCATTTATCCATTTTTGGTGAACTATCTCTTTGGGTGAAGTATCCTCCTTCATTTTCATAGGCCCCATCAGTCTGGGCCAACAAACACCCTAAAACGGAGTGCCAAACCGGTCAGGGTTCGCCTGCAAACAACGGCAACAGAAGTGCCCCCACTTTTCTTTGCTCAACGCCCAAATATTCATCCGTCAGACACCTGCCTTTTTCTCCCACTCAGGTAGTCTGAAAACCGCATTGAGTCACCCAAATGACTCTGAATTAATCTGTTCACTCTAATACGAATCAGTGTGCATTAGTCAACATGCGTAGGATTCATCAAAAGGTTGCGTTGACATACTAAATCGCATTTATAGCCAACATGAACGCTTTTAACATATTAAATGTATCACCTCAGCTATTAGTGCTACACTTTTATGATGCTTTAACACTTTTATCTCTTTGGTATGACTGTATTGATTTTGCTCTGTTGTTTTCAGTACATCAGTCAAACACTAAAGATAGTGTTTGACTTGAATATTAGATACTAATATACTCTATATACTACTAAGATATACTATATCTTGCACGAAGGACCGCTGTGTTGCTTTCTTAAATGAAATGAATGTCTAATGAGCACTGGGTGATTGGTGTATGATTCTCAGCATGCGATTACACTTTTCATTTCCTCTTATAGCTGTTATTGTTGCACTTAGTTATAATGTTCTTCATTACATGCTGGTATGCTCTAATCATACAATAGCTTAACTTGCTTTTAACCTAGTCTAATAGTATCAAAACTGTTTACTGACACTTATGTGTGAATTTATGCTGATTCTGACCTCATTTGCAGGTCCTCCTACACCTCTGAATGTTAATTATGTGGTTTACAGTTTAATATCTGATTGTTTTCTTCCTTTCTTCTGTTTGCAGTTCTTTAATGCTTCAGTGAGTCCCGATTCAGACAGTCAAAATATACCAGTCACGCCATCGCCGGTCTGCTCCCAGAAAGCACTGCAGCAAGACCTTGCTCTTCGACCTCAGAAGGAAAATGAGCTGTAAGTGCCCTTTTTGATATCATTTATAATTAGGATCTCCTATAGAGATGGAATTACTGAGGTTATAGATCAGGGGTGTTCAAACTCAGTCCTGGGGGGCCGGTGTCTTGCATATTTTAGTTCCAACCTCATTTAAACACATCTGAACCAGCCTATCAAGTTCTTTCTAGGTATACTAGAAAATTCCAGGCAGGTGTGTTGAAGAAAGTTGGAGTTAAACTATGCAGGAAACTGGCCCTTTAGACCCCTCTGTTAAAGATGATGGTAATGAGACAGTGGTTAAGTGATAATGTATATATGGCCATTTTTAGGTTCCGAACTCCCAACCTGAGGCGTTCGATCATGGAGTGTTCTCCTCGCACACCCACTCCATTCAAATCCACACTGACAATGCAGGACAGCAAATACGGACCACTGAAGAGGGTAAGACTTTTTTTTTTTTTTTTTTGAGAACACAAATAAATACACAGTATATACACATAATTTTACAATAGGATAAAATAAATTTTTACATAACAATTACATAAAATATCTATATTTTAAATATAACCATTAAAATTGAATAAATTATTATTATAAATAGCATGAAATAAACTAACTTGCAAGATTATTGTCGTTACTATTATTAGTTCCGTTATTACCAGGGGTCGCCACAGCAGAATGAACCACCAACTTATCTAGCATATGCTTTACATAGCGGATGCCCTTCCAGCCGCAAACCGACACAGAGAAACACCCATACACTTTTGCATTCACACACATACACTACAGCCAGTTTAACTTATTCAATTCACCTATACCACGTCTTTGGACTGTGGGGGAAACCGAAGCACCCAGAGGAAAAATATACATAAAAAATCTAAATGAATTTACATTGTAAAGAAAACTCCATAGAAATAATGGAAAATGTCGTGGTAAAATATTACCAGTGTATTTCCATCTGAATAATTTAAAATACAGTTTAAATAACACAAATATGTAACACGAATCAAATATCCCGGGACTGTTTGCATAAAAAAACTGTCTTAAATATTATTCAAATGTTATTAAATTATTTTCAAAGAACATGATTTAAAATTATTTGATATATTATTATCATTGTCATTTAAATATAAAAAAAATAAAAATAAAAATAAAATACGTGTGTGTGTGTATATATATATATATATATATATATATATATATATATATATATATATATATATATATATATATATATATATATATGATAACAAAATCTATACAAATCTATACAATAAAGGCAATGTACTTGCAGAAAACACCAACAATGACTAAACAAGCAGACATTTCAACAGGATATACAATATGAAACTGTAGAACACTATAAAATATTATTAATAACTTTGGGATTTCCAAAAGCAATCACTAGATGAGGTAATCTAAATGTTATACTAGGTGAAATGAAATATCCAATATCATACAACAAATGAACCCTCTAATAACAGAAACCATTTTGCTTATGCCACATTATGCTTAACTACATTGACATGTTTTATTCAAGTCTGTATTCTGGTTGCAGGTCCACAGTCCTTCGCTGGACTCTGGAGTGGTCGGCACGATTAAACAAGAGCCCCAGGAGTGTGAGATCAGTGTTGGAGGGGTGCATCTAGACCAGCCCCCTCTGAAAAAGATCAAACAGGAGGTGAGTTCAGCTGAATGCAGGCCCCTTCATTTGAATTTGATATTCAAATAGCACAAATGTAAAAACGCCTTGTCTGTACGTTGCGATTTGAATTTGTCAGTAATATCAGCATGCAGTCAAACTCCATCAGAGTGAGGCTGTGAATTGTGAGATTGTAAAAGTACTGTAAATTATGCCCGGTATAGTCAAAGATCTGTTGTAATAATTGTCAATCTTTTGGATTTGTAGGTGGAGTCAGTGTGTCTTCAGTGGGAGGGGCAAGATCTCCACACTCAGCTGTTCCCTTCTAATGGCCCCGCCCACGACATGCCTGTGAGTATCTTCGTTACGCTTTTATACGACGAATGCTACAGTTGTCAGCATTATTTTGATGTTTGACGGTTGTGTTTTTATAGGATCTGCTGACTAGCTCTGTGCTGATGCTTCCCAACACAGAGAAGACTGAGGACGGACACAAAGCTGCCCAGTTGCCCCGCAGACCCATAGGAAGTCCTTTGCAGGTATAATATTTACATATTCACTCCTGTGTAGCTATGTGAAAAGTTTTCAGAACTTATGTTTTAGTAAATTCATTTCAATTCAGCTTTATTTGTATAGCGCTTTTACAATGTAGATTGTGTCAAAGCAGCTTCACATAAAAGATCATAGTAAAATGAAATAGTGTAGTTCAGTTTTTAAAGATTAAGTTCAGTTCAGTTTAGCTCAGTTTATTGTGGTTTAATAAGTACATTTCGATTACCTTTCTAATACAACAAAATACAAATACAAAAAAAAAATAGGAGCTTTTTTTTTTAAATGCTTTTAAAAAGTATTTAAAAAATCAGACATCGCATAAGGATGTATTGTATTAAACATTACAGCTAATTTGGCCTTTCAAGTTAGATGGGTGCTGGATGAGGTCATCTGAATTAAAAAATAGGGGAAATTATTGTTTACAACTAAAGTTTCGATATCCAGGGTGTCCACGGGATCTTTAAAAGTATTAAAAGTTGATAAATCAGTCATGAAAAAATTAAGGCTGTTAAAAAGTATTACAAAGTCTTAATCGAGTTTTTACGAGGTCTTAAATTTTGTTTAAGCATTGTCCAAAGTGTTTGACTCCAAAAAAGCATAAATATATTTATTTTCCTCCTAATATTAACAATAACATCCTCAATCCATGCAATTGGTTTGGGCCAAGCTCCTCCATCCGAGTGATGTCGCGTAATTTGCGACAAACGTGGGAAGGGGATGTGACGCTCTCTGCATGTAACAAAACCATAAACCGAAACAGACAGAAAAATGTGAAAATGTAAGTTTGCATTCTCCTGGTTGAAGAAAGACGAGTTTAAACAGTGGCTAAAGCCTGTCGCTGAAAACAAGCTTTGTTTCTTCCGAGTTCTGTGGCATGGTTGTGATCCATTGATTTATTTAACTACAACTGTTTATTAAGAGCTGTTTATTAAGTTAAAGGTTTTATACTGATTAAAACTTGAAGTGGCGATGAGGTCTTAAAATATTATGAGTAGGTCTTTAAAAAGTCTTAAAAAGGTACTGAAATTACCTTTAGGATTCCTGCATATACTCTAATATAAAGCCTTAGCACATAACCAGTATGCTACCGATACACATTCTGATTGCCTGGTTTAAAATGTTTCATTCAGAATTATATTTTGGTTCCAAGAGTAAACACCAGTGTTAGTAAATAATGCACACACCCCTGTTACGTTTGGCTATCAGAAAGTATCGCATTGAAATTTTTAATGCAATGATTTGAGCTATATGTAGAATACTAGCGACACCGGTGGTCATTAAGTGAATTGCATCCAACAACCTGTTGCCCATGCTTACACTAGTGTACAAGCAACGTACTGACAAAAATTGGGATTACATTTGCAAAATGTACAAACTTAGAGTGATGTTTCCATGAATGTATGTTGCACTTTTAGATTAATGGATGCTGCACGCCTTTCCTCTTAACATTAAATTAAAGGCCACAAAACAAATAAATTTAAAAAAGCGGGATCTGATCATAGCAACATGGATATGTTTCCACAAGCTCAGCCATGCACCCTTATGGATATAAAGCTATTGCACTCTACAGATCTGGCTATGTGAAAGTAAACTTTTCTTTGCATTGACATAGCAGTACAGAATAGCTGTTTCAACATTATACTGAACATTTATTATTAGAACATTTATTATTGATTGATTGATTTTATTTGACAGTTTGAACAAAAATATACCAACAAGTCCAGTTAGAATAATTCATACATATTTTAAAAACTGTCAAGGATAAAATACACAAAAAAAGCCACAGACTTATTTCCATTGTGGTCCTCGATGATCTTAAAAACTGAACAAGCGAATTATAAATGCAAATATTAACATTATATTAACTTTAACCTTCATTTTTTTTAATTGCTCTTCTAAAAACACTCTCAAATTGAATCTCTTTTAAACTCATAGGCAATACATTAAAGAATTTCTACCTGTTTCACTCTAATCTAATCTACAAGGATAAACATGCCTGCTACTGGCTTTTGTAAAATGAAATAAACTAAAATATAATAATCAAGAAAATATTTGGGTACCATTTTCTTTATAATCCTAAACACCATCACTAATATTTACCCTTTTTAAAAAAAAAATACTTTTACTATAATGCTCATTATGTAAATGTGTCAGTGGAGGTACTTTTATAACAATTCTACACAACGTATTTTGTTTTTTGTTATTATTTTGTTCTGTTAACACTAGTGCATTTAGTTTAGTCATGATTGCGGCTAGCATCTGGACTACTCGGACATGTTCAATTTGTAAAAATGGAGCATTTTAAAAACACTAAAGACCCAGTTTTAGTTTGGAAATGCTTTTTATGTTTGTTTTAGTATAGCTTGAAATAGAGATTTTCTTAAATGGAGGCATGGCTATCTACGATCACTGTCTGATTGGTCATCTAAACTATTGCATATCCTTCGCCGATTCGTCAAGCCACTACCATATGATTTTTACACAACCAGTAGACTTCAAGTATGAATGCGGGCAAAATATGTGTATGCCCAGAAAGTGCGAATAGTCAGATATCATACATTTTACACCGTATAATGGAGTGATGGAGTTTGTTTTGCCTAAATGAGGAGTGTTTTCATTCTAAAATACGGTTTCATAACAAAAACAGTTTGTTTGGGGCTGTTGTGAAAAGTAGCTAATACTTGAAAATGCATATTTTTAGTGTCTTTAATGTATTAATGTTACTTGCGTAGTTTGTATGTACAACTATATAGTAGCATTTGGTAGTAGCACATATTTGGCTTTATGACTCCAGGTGCTGAATTGCACCATAAACTTGTAAAAGTAATGATTTATTAGACACACAAGCGTAGGCTATGCAAAACCTGACCAATCACCTTCATCTCTGAGTTTGATGTACTTCTCTCCATCCTCACTTCCCCTCTCTCTCTCTTCTTTCGTCCATCACAGCAGTTGAACACATGGGAACAGGTGCTTTGTGGGAAGACGGAAGAGCAGACGATTCCCTCTGAAGCCACGCACAAATACCTCAGCAATTATTCTTCGCGAGCTCTGGTCATATGAACGAGAGACATAATGAGACAAAAATAGAAAGGGAAGGAGGAGGGAGAGTGAAAGAAGACAATCATTCTGAAAAGAAGTAAAAAGAGGAACAGTCCCTACACTCGTGGTACATTATTTGGGAGAGGCTGTAAGCCATTTTTGTTTGTAGACTGCACAGTCGATGTTTGGTCGCCAATGTTTAAGCTGTGCCATCATTCAAGGAACCAAAGACATTGTGTTTTTTATATACATATATATATATATATGTTTTGTTTTGTTATTTCTACATTTCTGATTGGAATTTAATAATATTGTATTATATATGTTGTATTATACATGGGAAATAATTGTTTATGTGGGTTCTAATTTTATGGATTTTAATATAAGGAACAATTTGCAGTAATTTATTATTATTTTGTATTAAGAATAATAATTAACTAACTATGACGGGCGCCTTTGCCAGTGTTTGCCCCCAGTATTGCTCACTTTTTTATTCGCTAAATGTGTGTTAATTGTAAGGAGCGCATGTCCTCCTAGCATTATCCGAGTCTTACACCCAAAACCAGACAAAGAGTTGTTCTGGGTGACCAACAAAACTGCCCTTGTATGTATTTCAGACTTATAGCACTGCTGTGTATTTCTGGCTAAAACAAACTGTGCCCGATGCCTACAAAATTAGGCCAGTTTGTGAATTCAACTCAAAATTTGAAGTCATATATCTAGTGTACTCTGCCAGTTTAGTAGTGTTGCCATTTCAAAAGCTTCAAGATGGAAACCACAACGTTCATTTTTGTATTAGCACTATTTCAGGTTTTAGATCAACTCTTGCAGGAATTTCAACAGAACAAAGTGTTTGTTTGTTTTTGTATTTGCTTCAAAGGTTTACCGAACATTTTCAAATCAAGGTCCAAAGTTGCCTTCGAGATGATATACAACATTTCTTTATGTTTTCATAAACACTTTTTTGTATGACGATTTGTAATCAAATTTACCTTGGTATTTCTAGTTTTTAAACACTGAAATGATTGTTGCTTTTATACGTAGTTGGCTTGTTTTTTGATATTACAATCAGCCTTTTTTGATACTAAGATCCAATCAAAAGCATTGAGGAATAACTTTTTGTTATTCGCTGCCTTTTTGTATTAGCTTCAAGTACAAACACTTTTTATACACTGATTTTGAACTTTTCATACGTTTTTTATACAAACTGCCTTGTAAATAAAGTGTGTTTTTGAGAAAAAATATCTCTGGATTAATGGTTTCTTTTCCACTTTGCATCTCCTAAAATCTATTTACTTTCACAGATGTTCATAAGACCAAAATTAAACTACTTATTGAAATATAGTCGAAAAGACAAACTTAAATGTCTCAAGAACTTTGCATAAAAACATCATACTTGCAAGGAACTTAGTATCCAAATCCATTTTGAGTTTATGTTAATCTTTATGTAAATATCAGTAACCTATTGTACATCTAAAATAAAATAAATAATATTTTAATCACTTATTTGTTATAAAATGTAAGTTAGAATAAAAGTATTAATAAAATTATAACAAAATCCAAAACCCCATTATATACATAGTTGTGCTCCCATTAATCTTTGTTTTATATTAATTTAGGGTCAAAATAAAAGTTTTTTGACATAATATAGGTGTTTTATATATTGTATATTTATTATGTATATGTGATAGGCACACACGCATAGAAACAAAACTATACAAAACAATTGAGTAACATAGATATTTATTCATTCTTTTTTTTCGGCTTAGTCCCTTTATTATTCAGGGGTCGGCACAGCAGAATGAACTGCCAACTTATCCAGCATATGTTTTACGCAGCGAATGCCCTTCCAGCCGCAACCCATTTCTGGGAAACATCCATACACTCATACACTTATATAGACAATTTAGCCTACCCAATTCACCTCTACCGCATGTCTTTGGACTGTGGGGGAAAACGTAGCACCCGGAGGAAACCCACACGAACGCAGGGAGAACATGGAAACTCCACCTCCAGAAAGGCCAACTGACCCACCCGAGGCTCGAACCAGCGACCTTCTTGCTGTGAGGCGTCAGCACCAGGTAGTGCTGTCGCCTCACAGCAAGAAGGTTGCTGGTTCGAGCCTTGGCTGGGTCAGTTGGCATTTCTGTGTGGAGTTTCATGTTTTCCCCTTGTTCGCGTGGTTTTCCTCAAGGTGCTCCAGTTTTCCCCACAGTATATTATATCTACATGTAAATAAACATTTTCTCAAAAATTTGCATGCATATTTGTATTTATACATATGCATATGTAATTTTGATTATACTTTATTGTCATTACACATGTACAAGTACAAGGCAATGAAATGCAGTTCAGGTCTAACCAGGAGTGCAATAGCAGCAAGGGCAGGATATAGGTATAAGTTAGAAAATAGCAATTCTAGAAAAACTCCGGGTAATATTTACAGATGGATGTACTATGAACATTATATACAGGTTGTATTAAATATGAACAGAGACTTATGTCAAAACCAACTTTTATTTTGGATGCAATGAATCGCAATACATTTTATCCCAGCGTTAAATATGTAATTATTTTTTTAAAAATCCAGTAATGTGGTTTCTAAAAAATGTTAACTTGCCCTCTCAAACCATAAAGCCTTAAAAATTCTTATTTCTGGGCAAATTCAAAGAGTCCTGGAATTAAATGTTGATTGATTACAAAAATATATCACTATAAAACCTAAAAGTTAACTTTATCAAATGAAATGAGTGCAGTTACCTCAAAATTTACTGGAAGTTAATTCTTTTCATTTAAAACAAGTTTTGAACTGTTCAAGGTAATGAGTTAATTAAATACCTCATTACTGCAACTTAAATAGAGTAAGTTCACAGTACTTAAGGGTTTGAGTTGCCTTAACTTGTTGAAGCTGCTGTGGTGGTAATGGAGGAGTGGAGAGTATGAGACTGATTCCTGTAAGACCCCAGTGACAGACGAGTCTTCGCATTGATCCTGAAGGGCCAGCCTGTACATCAGCCAGTGACCTCTCCCACCTGCAGCTTCTCTACGATTGACTTCCAGCGTTCTCCAGCCTCCGGCGCCTAGACTGCAGCTCTGCACAAGACATTTGGCTAAAGGAGAAATGGTCAAGCCCAACTGAGCCTGGTTTCTCTTGAGGTTTTGTCCTTCACATTCGTCAATTGGTGAAGTTTGTTTCTTGCTGCTGTCAACACTGGCTTGCGTGGTTTTAGGACTTGTGGAGCTGCACATCAATGGATTTGTTCTTCAGTGTTTGTACAGCAGTGAAAATTAAATCACACTGAACTGAACTAAACTGAACTTCAACACTGAAAACTGGACTGACACAGTTTCAAACTTCTCTAATCTTCTATGTTAAGCTGCTTTGACACAAACTAAATTGTGAAAGCACAAGGGAAATAAAGATGAATTAAATTGAATATTGGGTTTTACAGAACTCAGTTTGTTTGAGTTCTCTTCATTTATTGGGTTTTACTTTGCTTCTTTTACTCAAATGGATTAAGTTCACAGTACTCATTAGGATTAGCTTTTGAACTTAAATGGTTTGTTGCAATCGGTTTCCTCAAATGGTTTGTGTTACCTTAACTTTTTGGGTTTTACAGTGTATCAATATAATTTTACTTTAGATGAACAAACTAATACTGTTTTCTGCTGATGTGAAATGAAAATTACTTTTCAGTTATAATTAAGTTGCTATTTCAAAGACCATTAGCAGATGTTTGCTCTTGTTTTAACCCTAAAAATAATTCAGTTTTTATTTTTGTATACAAGACTTGTAAACAAGACCTTTACAATTATGTCTCCCATATAAAAGTATCTTGACTTAGGAATAAAGAGATGTTTGCACTGGAAAACAAGATGAAGGGCCCTATAATACACCTGGCGCAAGGCGCGACGCAACTGTTGTTTACTTATTACAGCTTGGCAAAGAGTCGTTTTGACGTTTTGTGCCACGTTGTTTAAATAGCAAATGCATTTGCGTTCATATGTGTGCCCATAGGCGTTCTGGTCTAAAAAGGGAGGCGTGTTGAGATGTATTGCTGTTCGTTGCTATTTTGAGAAACTATAATAGATTTTTCAATAGACCAGAATAAAGGCGGTCTATTGTCCAGCGCAGAGCGCGTTAGTTGTGCGCCTCGCTTACACACTGCTTAATACACACAAGATGTAGAGCAATACACAAAAGACACAAAAAATCTTTACATATGACAAAGAATTAAAATATTAAGGATATATATATATATAGGATATAGTAAGGATATATATAGGATATAAATATCAAGGACTAAAATATTACAAAACATTATTTTCTAGCCTACATAAATATAAAAACCACTGCCTTCACGCCGCCTTCATCTTGTGGGGCTTTTTCAGTTGATTTATAACAATTTGCTGTTGTATAATGTTATCATTATTAGCAGTTTTATTTATTATATGCATATTTATATTTGTTTTATTAAAGCAAGCTTAAGTTTGTCCACCTGCATGTTTTAGACCATATGGGGTATAGCATGTGTATTTAGATTTAACTCCGTTTTTTGACCACACTTCATTATTATTGTTCAGTTTTTCATTTGCTGGAAATTAGAACTGAATTTAGAAATAGTTTTGAAACAAATATTTGCGCTTAACAAATGAAATTAATTATTTACAGGCTAATGGATGTCTGTGCGTACAAGGTTTCCCTATCCCTGAAAGTAGATCATGAGAAAGCCTCATCTCTCATTCCTGCGCTGTAGATGCTCTGTTTAACTGTTTTCTTACTAGTGAAATGCTCAGTTTTTCCACTTAAGTTTTCATGTAAATAGCAAATGCGCTTATGGCGCGTCACAACTGACTCTTAAAGGGAATGGTAGATGAGACTCTAATTGGTTTATTCTCAAAACACACCTATAACTCATTAAGAAAATAAGCTCAACCCTTTTAGATCATGCGCCATGGCGCAAAGTGGATTTTTCCGTCCTTATATTAGCAAAAGTGGATTCTGACACGCCCTGAATGCGTTTCCGCCCTACGCTTTGCACTTTGCTCGTGAACCGTCAAAATGGAGCCCGAAAATATGGTGAATAAAACCCAAACTAAATTTTTTACCAAAACTGCTGGATAACTAAAATAATTACTAAAACTGCTGGAGAAAACAATGACATTTCCCATAATCATTTGGTTTTAAACAGCACTAAATTTACCACCAGAAATAATGGACCTAAATGGAATAACAGAAATAATGGAGCTAAAAACCTAAATTTACCTACAGAAACCCTGAGCAATGCAGCTGATTATAACAGAATGATAACAAAATGCTTGTGTTCTCAGGAAAAGGCCTTAAAGAAACAATTCATCCCAAAAATGTAAACTCTGTCATCATTTACTCACACTTATCACAAACCTGTTTCAGCTTCTTTTTTCTGTTGAACACAAAAGAAGATATTCTGAAGAAAGCTAGAAACCTGTAATCATTGACTTCAATATTTTTGGTTTTTCCTACACTGTAAAATTGCTGGGTTCTGCACAATTTCTTCATGTTGTTCCAACTAGAATAGAGTGAACTTGATTGTTTTTACAAATTTAAGTGGATTAAACATAAAACAATCAAAAAAAAACTCAAGTACTGTGTTGGTTCAACTCATTTTTAAAATGAGTCAATGGTTTCCGGTTTTCATCTTTCTTCAAAATATCATCTTTTGTGTTCAACAAAAGAAAGAAACTCAAACCAGCTTGGAATCACTTGAGGGTGAGTAAATAGCCAGTGCATTTTCAGATTTGACTGAACTATCCTTTTTTATTTCCAAGATGAATTCTTCATCATTTTATGTTTATCTGTGGTTTAAAATATTCTCTTTAAGTGTCCAAACACTGACTACGTTTACATGGACATCCGTAATCCAATTATTTGCTTTATTCTGAATAAGACAATAATATGATTAAGGTGTTTACATGAGTTGCTTTTTAAATTTTCCTTTTATGATCCAGTTTAACATGTCATAGAAAATAATTCGATTATAATTTGCCATTGCGTCACTGCGCTATCCACATTTTCTCCGGAGTTTCATGAAATTCGGGTGTTTCATTTTTAATTTGTTGACTTTAACTGCAGTTTGGCCAGTGTTGACAAGTTTTCAAAAAAGCGACTAGCGACAAATCTAGTGACTTTTTTTTGGGTGTTACCAGAGATTTTTATAGACTCTCATGTGTCCATACTGTACTGTTCCTACTCTTCTCCACGA